TAAAAGACGTTTATGCACTAGCGTTCCAAAAGTGGAAGGTAGCGGTCAAACGTGAGGGGGTCGAGCCACCTTAAGCGTCTAGTCATTGTAGCGCTTTCACACTAATTGGGGACACTTTTCACTCACACACACTACCACTACATTCAATGTCTATGCACACAACACTCAACTCACACAATCCAGGATTCACTTTTCTGAACCTGAATGTTATCAAACACACACGACACCACTGCTCTTTTATTCATCTTCATATAGAGTATCTAAAATAGGATTAAAATAACTCAGTGTCAGGATTCATGCATTATCAAAATGGTATAAGATGGTTGTTGATCCAGGGTTGTTGATCCAGGGTTGTTGATCCAGGGTTGTTGATCCAGGGTTGGCTAGACTGAATTTTATCAAGCCACACACCACACCACTGCTCTTTTATTCAATGGCATTTATCTAACATAAAACCATATCCAAAATGAAGTTGGGAAAGGCCAACATGGTCTTGACAGTTACTAGTATATATTTTCAGCTTTCTAGGATTTAGCAACTAGGCGTGAATGTTGTCCATCACAAGTTACCCCACTCTACCCCTCACATTGCACCAGGCTGCTTCTAGCACTTTGCTAGCCAATACTACACTGCTTTGATGTCTAACATACAGAGCTAGCTGGAATTGAAATAAAGATCTGCAATAGTTAAACTCATTTGAATATGACCATATGTGATTCACAAACCTGTTTCATGTTTCGTCTTTTGAAGGAAATCAAATTATTTTTTTTATTGCATTTATTGGAAGATAGGAGCCACTCTTTGAAAACACTGGTAATATCTGTCATCTAGTCTTCTTATTTTCACATGTTCTTATCCAGCGTTTTTCATATGAATTGTTAATATAACTACATACATTGGCTGTATCTTTTGTCTACTAGATCTTATGAAAAATCAAATTCCAAATACATTCATTGGAAGACGAATGTCACTTGATCTTTAGGATGACTGCTTAACTTTGACATGGATTGTTCATAGCACTACATACATAGATGGCCTGCACCTCTTGGTGGCTGCAATACACAAGCTCTTACACAACCACTTATCAAGTATATATAGGTATACTGGATGGAAAAAATATAATTGACTTGAGCTTCTTTTTAGGTTCTGTCTCGTTGGCTGGTGTTGGAGGTGGGCTGTGGTCAGTGGAGGGAGGAAACTATAGAGTCTGTGAGTTACTTTTAACTGCTTATAAAGCTAATCTATATAAAGAAACCAAAGTAAGCAAGATCACCAAGATATCTAACAACAACAAACCATCCTATATCATCACTACTAGTCAAGGATTGAACCAATCATATGATATTGTGATTATTGCTGCTCCTCTTGAAGTGCAGTCCAATTATTTTACTTGTCTCTCATGCTCAAACTGGCCACAAGCGAGTCACACTAACACCTTCTGGCAGACTGTCGCTACATTTGTCCAGGGTGAGATCAACTTGACACATTTTGGGTTTCAAAGTGCCTCTGATGTGCCTGAGGGAATCTTTACAACCGAGAATCCCAAGAATTACTTCAACTCCATTGGTCTACAACAGCCAGTACAAGACCGCAACTCAACAGATACCAGAGATAAACCAGTAAGGAAGGTTTTCTCTCGTCAGTCTTTGACTTCAGAACAGCTTCAAGAGCTGTTTGCTACGAGAAATGTTACTAAGTCTGTAAAATGGCTGGCCTACCCAGACCTGAAACCTGCTAGGCATTTTACATCTTTTATCTTGGATGAAGGAGTATTTTACATCAATGCTATAGAACATGCAGCAAGTGCCATGGAGATGTCTTGTGTAGGAGCAAAAAATGCTGTACTCTTGGCTTATAAATATTACAATAAACAACAGGTTGATAAAGAAGAGGAAAAGAGAGAAGAAAAAACTAAAAACGATGAACTTTAATAACAATGCAAAATAATTAGACATAATTTTTTCATTGAATGAAAAGAATTTTTTATTTCATTTTTTAAGTGTATGATGTGTGCCGTTTAATTTCAATGTATAAAACCTAATTGTAAAATATTTATAGTTTATGTAAAGAAGTAACGATTTTATATTGCACCATAATTGTTTATAAATGAAAATAAAACGCACACGACGAATAAAGATGTAGTTATATCATTCGTAATAAAAAATGCTACACAAAATTCTGCAAATTGTTGCAAATCAAAAGTTTGTAATTTCGATGATCAAAATTGACAGAAAAATTCTTTGAATTCTAACTCCAAAAATAGTACATTTTTGTAATAAAGAAATCGTGTAGTGTTCACTTAAGTTGTTTTTATTGATTGTGCACACGATGTTGGTTGACCAAAAGTGCAACAGTTTATGGCCCGTAATCAATTGATTTATTATAAAGTGGTTATCATTATTTAGAGGAGTTGGCTTCCTCATTAATTTTGTATTATTATTCCATCACGACATGGTTGTTTTTCTGGAGTTTTTAATAGTTTTATCGCCTCCCAGACTCGACTATCTGATTATCAAATCCTTTTTAGCTTGTTTTTTACTGAATGTAATTTTGATCGCCTTTCCTATTTTTTAATCTTTAATGAAAGTGCAGTGTAAGGTATTGAATGAAAACAGCTGCACACAGTAGCTGTCTACGGACGCGGCACCTCCAAAAACAGATAAAAATCTTCAAATAATTATTTGCCTCGAGGCCCCGACTTCTGATAAAATGAAACGGCACTTATAAATGAAATGGGACTTATGCATGCACTATCGCCTGATGAAGACTAGCAGTAGCAGTCGAAACCTAGCGGTCCTCCTGACTACCACAATCGTGAGGCAAATGAATAAGTGAAATCTTTGAAATGAAACTTTTTTATCTTCGAATAAAAAGAAATGATTTCAACATTTATTTATACATATTCATTATACATATTCATTTATTAATAATTTCTAATATTCTATATTATTTACAATAGTAGAGAGAGTTGAAAAATTTACATATTGACGCGCGCACGTGGTATATACATACTCCCAATATACAATATATACAATATCGCTTTATATAGGCGCGCGCATATGTTATATATATATATATTACTACAGCATTCGATAAAATATTAGTGTGCGAGGGCGGCGTGTTTGATCTCAGTTACTAATCATTGTTTTCCAAGAGGGCTAAATCAATACTACTAACGTCTCGGCTATATATCTCTCATATCAGCCTTYTTTCTGATTAACACAGTTCTATCGTACATAGGCCCAAAGCTATTTCTTGTTTCTGTCGATATGATATATCATAGCATACAGCTAGTACGTATGTAGCTAGTATACATGGAAGATAATCATGGGTTATCTATAAAACCCTTGTGATAAGTTTTGAATGTTATTTCAGTGATGTTAAACATTTTATTTCAACACTTGAATCTTTTTTGAATTCTCGCATGACAAGCATTAGATACCCTGGAGGTACTTTTGTTCACCATTACATCGGTGATGCTTCTTTTTTCCCATAATTATCTTTTTACTCATCATATCTTTTTGGGTGGTAACTAGAGGAAAAACCGCATATATTATGATTGATCTTATCAGACGATGTTGAAAAAAATACCTCTTGAAATGAGAATACGTTTTTCAGTTAAAACTAATAAAACACTTGATGTTGTAAACTTGAAAAACTAACTCGGAAAATACTGATAATCCGTATCTTGCGCATCTCATCATTTTGATGAAGGCTGTCACAAGCATGGCAAAAACACCATGCCGCAAAAATTACTATTTTCTGATAAATTTTCTCTCCGGCATAGCTTCAGTAATACTGTATTATTTATCATTGGCCTTGATATCACTTAATTAAAGAAGTCCGTGTTCCTTAAGGTATTCTATCTCTAACATAACATCAGTGATATTCTTTGTTATATATACGGTGCTAGATTTATTATCGCGAAACAACGGCCGCGAGATATCTTGTAAGTGTTCTGGATTCTTAACCTTGTTATATCCCAGCAGAGTCATCATGATAGAACACTCTTGTTCAATGGTTCGGATAGTTTCAACATCGAGTTGTGTTCTCCATAGGTTTAGGGACATCGTAGCATTTTTGGTCGTCGAAAAAGGGTGAAATTCGTGCGTCTTCAGGGTATTTTGTCGTAGCCACTGGCCTGCTTTCTCAGACCAAGGCAGATTAGCAAACTCGTACAGTTCTCTTGTAGCTCGTTCAGTTTGTGTCGCGATATCTTCATACCGAATCACGTGATACATCGTCTCAAAAGCCTCCTCAGACACACCCTTTTTCAGGTTATTTAAAACCTGTGTACAAAGTGCGCGCGCATTTGTCTGATAATCCGCCTTTGTCCATTTAGTGTTGTGTCGAGAGAGGTCAATATGAGCACGTGAATTAATAATTGCCCTCGGGTCACGTACGAGGTGAATAACTTTCATAATATTCCAAGGTGCCTCGATGTTAAACCTGCGCAACTCTTTAAGCTCGTCTAAGTTCTTTACCCTTATAGTCTTGATAACGACATGACGGTATGATTGACAGATGTCAATCAATGTGCTAGTGTGAATCCGCTGACACTCTTCTTGCACGTGTTCCATGTTTGTTGTGCTCGGACACATAGGTGGTTTGGACAGGACACGAGAAGACAGGCGAAAAGCCGAGTCCGACAACTGACTGACAAAATAAGGATTTTCTTCAAAGTTACAAGTGAAAATAGTATTCAGAAGCCTTCGAGATAGGATTCTATATGCGTTACCATGGTTACGCTCGAGCTCCTTTAAAAAGAATATTGGTTCGTAGAGGTAGAGTATATCAGGGTGATGGTTGAATAACTGGCCAACAAACGATGAACCAGATCGTTTATATGCCATTAATACAATATTATAACGAAAAATACTTCTTTGCTTCGAACCCATGTCTTCTCCTTTCTCGCTCGGTTCTTTATTTCTAGTTTCCTGTAGAATATCATTGAGTTTTGAGGCAATGTTTTCCAAATTTGTTAATGTAGAACCGCAACGCTCTGACCTTGCATCACGCCTAGCATCGTCTGCCTTTTGTTCGGCACTGGAGTCCTTATATCTGCCATTGACTTTCCTACTCCATGTGGGATATGTTTTCGACAAACGCTTTTGCAGGCAAATAAGATTTGCCACACAAATTGCGGTTGCGCAGATCAACAGTATGTAAAACGTATATCGTGATAGCCATGAGTTTGCACATGCGTATGGCGGCTTTTCCGTTGTGGCTCTTTTCATAGTCGGGAATCTTTGCCCATCCTTTTCAGCGTAATCTTAAGACTACACCTAAGGCAAGGACAAACAAATCCACGCCATACGATTTCCTGGTATAGAAGTTTTCATTTGACGAACAAATAACAGATAACAGTCGTTTCAACGGATTTTGTTTTCAAACTTTTTTCTGTTTGTCGTTTGATACTGTCCTTGTGCAGCAGTGGCGTCACTTCATGGCACTTGTTCTTGTCTCTTCATGTTTCTGAAGTTCAAACACGTCTCAATAAATCAAAAATTATTCCCTAGGAAAAACTGTGTTAGGGAATTTTATCTCTGGACTTTTCATCCATGGAATTTTTATTTATTAAGGATATCTTGTTACGGGATATATTATATGTATATTTTCGTTAGAATTTCAGTGTACGTGATTTTTAGTTACGGAAGCCTTAGATACGGAATCCTTTGTCACGTGAGCCTTAGTTACGGYATCCTTAGTTACGGGGCCTTAGCTACAGTAGCCATGGTTAGCTTGGGTACGATCAAAGTGACAGGTCAATCTTTGTACCTGTAAGATCAAACCAAGGGCAGCGAACCATGTCATTTCAAACTGGTATTTTTTTGTCTTGTGTTGTTGTAATGCTTGTCGCTTTCTCTCTTAAAGAATCCGACTTAGAAAAAATAAATTCTTATTTTTCTAGTATAATGATTTTTTAAAAAATGAACTATTTAAAAAAACGTTATCCCATCCGGGTGCTTGGAGATTGCGGCTCTGATTGGTCCATTTGGTTCCGATTGGAGGCTTGTTATTCGATGAATTTGGCTCGTTAATTTAAATACTCGTATAACTAGGACCAGTTAGCGTTTGCATAAGTTAACCAACCATATGAATCACAAGAAGTACAATAAAAAATAATAATTGAACTAAAAAGCTTTGCTTGAAGTTGATCAAGCGTTCCTTGCTTGTACAGCAGAACAATAATGGTGAATATGATAGACTGTGATGGGACATTTACTTACATTATTTTTGTTCCATCTTTAATAAGACACACGTATCCTTGTAGTATTGGTTTTGAACTCCGTCTAGCTACGGGGCGTTAAAATTATGTCCGTTAGAACTAGTTACCAGGCCTAATGTTACAGAAACACAGGGAACCCATACTTTCAAAGATTTCTGCTTTTTTCCAGTCCATCCATGCCAGAGTCGATACAGGGTTCCCATGTCAAGGTTCCTATACACCACGAGTTTGTCACCAATATTCTTTTGAGCTTAAAAAACGCAAATGGAAATACAGAATATTTGCACTGCGGGCTCAACTGTAATATATCGACTTCTTTATTATTGGGAATAGTGTTTTCCCATTTCAGACCACGTGTCATTCTCTTGAGAATAAGATTCTTTGTTTGAGTTGTATTCCTAGTCATTTGTCTTCTAAAGAGACGACACTAAAGAGAATACCATGTGGTCTGAAATGGGAGAGGACGTCTATACCAATTTAATATATCAAAGCGTTTTTAGCGCAGTAATGTACATTAAACTGCGTCCCCTGCAGGCTGTAATTTGAACTGTACACGTCTCAGTTTTCCTCTGTTCATTAAAAGGAATTCCAAAACAGGATACAGGATAGAAAGATCATTGTACTTGTGACGTCATCGGCGCCATCTTGTTTTCTCGTGGTTTTTGAATTATTGATGTTGTCACAACTGTTTTACTTTATGTTAAAATCTGGTTTTCCTCGAGATTTAATCTTTTTTCATTGCCTATGTAAATTTTTATGTTTTCCCCCTTTCTTGATGCCATATTTGACCTTAAGCTTCTTTTACTGTATAGGAAAAAATATATTTTAGCTAATTGTTCAAATCGCATCATTAAAGTAATATTTTCTTCATCGGAAGCAGAAAAAGGAAAGACACCCTTGCTAAGAAAAAGACGAATTACAGATAAATCGACAAGTGAAACCCCATTAATATCCGATGCTAAATTCAACCATAATCCATCATCTCTTTACAATCAATATGTTTTTTGTTTTATATGATAAAGTACAAGATATATATCCATTGTAATATCCACGGTAATATTGCTGTTAGATAGGTTTGCTGGGCTCTCCCTTCATTAAAGGGTCCTTTTACTCTACAAAATTAAACCTAACAGGCTACAATTCCAATGCGATCTGTGAGTTAGCCGTGCCCTGACTTAAATCAGCTCAGAGGTTGTTTAAGGGTTTGATCTGTAAGTTAGCCGTGCCCTGACTTAGATCAGCTCAGAGGTTGTTTAAGGGTTTGATCTGTAAGT